TTGGTCATTGTGTCCGCCTTGTCTTCCTGATTGTCCCCCTTTCTCTCCGGCTTTGTCTCCCTTCTCGTGGGTCACTGTGTCCGCCTTGTCTTCGTTCTTGTCTCCCATGTTTCAAAAAGTGGACTTGGGAATGCTTCTTTGTTGTCCCACCTGTTTGGGGTCTACGGTGGTGTAATATTTTGTCAGGTGTTTTCTATTGCTATTGGGTTAGTTGGAGGCCATCGCTGTTAAATCTTCTTATATGTCTTTTCAGTTTGTTTTTTTCTCAGGGTGTGGACTCCGTGGGTGTCCGGGCTCAGCGGCATAGACCACTGTGGCACAAACCAAGGCCCACATACTCACCTCGGGAGGCGCATGGCCTCATCAAGTTGGTGGTCAATTTGTAGCAGGGGTGAAACTATTGGAAAAGGAACTTGAACACTCCACTTGCGAGTGCGTAAAAGGTGGTCATGAGAAGCGGAATTGATTTGGAGTTGCTACGTAGTACGCACAACGGCTCTTCGCAGCTTTTGAGAATTATTGCTAATTACAGGCGTTGCTTGTGTGTCGAATCTCAATCTCCTTACCTCCCTGGGCTCTCTATATGAACCACCCCCCCTTGCAGGAGACCACTCTCGGCTGCTGGCCGGGAGACGTTGAGTCGAGCCTTTAAAGGCTTTGCTTCCCCACCGGAGACCGGGATCCCCCGACGAAGGACATGAGCACAAAGATCCCCGTGGCCGACTCCACCAAACTCTCCAGGACGATGGAAATCACCTGGTCGCCGCGTTAAGGAGATCGACCGGTCACGAGAGGTCTCACCATGTCGAGCCATGAGCGTGCAGTTATGAAATGCATCAAAGTGAAGAACTGCAACAGGGGACACATTGTGTCCGATTCCCTCTACACGCTGGCTCGAGGCAAAAAGGTACTGCTCACTTGGTTTAGCAATTTGGAAATGCTGCCGCAGCTTAGACCAAACGATAGCTCAAGGAAGCAACCAAACAAGAGGGGGAACGACAATTGTAGGTTGAAGGAAAAGGTGGAATCCCGCATGGCACCAAGACTGGGGGTGGTTGGAAGGAGTAGGATGCCCAGTTCCATCAGGGCAGGTGATGGTGAGTTTCAATGTCTTGCAATACTTTAGCCATGTGCTGGGGTGTCAGAGTTGTGCAGCACTAGATGCTTGAACTATCTACATGGCATTGCCATCATTCGTTTTTGTGCATCTCAGCCTTAAAGCCTCAACAAAAGATGTTCATGGTCCCCACTGCCCAACTAAAACAAAAAGAAGGTCTTTCTAGGAAAAAAAAACACCATCACTGACAAAAAACATCGCCTCCGCCCTCCTGGGCCCCGCGGATGGTTTGCGGATTGTATGCACCGTCCGAAGACGCGTTCCACCACGTCTCCCTCCCGCGCGCGTCTCGTCGGCTGCGGCCTCTGAGTGACGAGCGACTTTGGCCAAGCGCAGCACACGGAGAAGACGGATCTCGGAGTGACGGCGCTCAGTGGACGCGCAGCTGAGAGAGAGACCGATCAGCTGAGAGTCCTTCCTTTCAAGCAAAAAGCACATGGAATCTGATTGAATTAACTATAGGCTATGTATGAGAGTGATCATTCCAGGATGCTCAAATGGATATGTTGTTGGGTGAGTCCTTTCAATCAAGATGTAACATATGTATATGTCCTGATGCAATATGACCATCGTCTTTCAAAACTCGCCATGGATGCTAGCATATGCAATTAAACATTGAATTCATGTAGACTTTCATGCAGGTATCCAAACCAAAAGATTCAGTCATACAATCTTGCGGTTATCATCAACTATCTCAAAATTAACGGGAGCTCCATCCCACAATGATGTGCTATTAATTTTGACCCATGGGCTGATCCAAGAAGATTACTCTACAACGTGGGGATGGGGATGGAATGGGATGGATCTGTATTTTCATATATTATGTGCCTTATATATAGATCCACCAGACTGTGCCCTGTTTTGAATGCATAAAAGTGTGCGTGATGACTCTGGAATCACCCTCCCACGGTCTATTTCCATGGCGAAGTCCTTCAACCGTGCCGGATAGTGCTTCGACCGAAGCCCAGCGGCCATGCGCGCCAGGCGGACCATGCGCAAGGTCCGCAGGGAGCCAGCCATCTTCTCCAGGCGACCGTGATCACCTGAAGATGGAGAATGAAGAGGATTGTTGAGATGTTTAGTCGTTGTTCCATGGAGAGGAATACACATCTACTTGATATCATTCTTTCAAGGTTCTTGGAGAAGATGGAGTTGTTCTGCCAGAAAATATTATGGCATTCTGGTCGAGTCCATTTTCTCTGCTCAATTAGAGGGTTCCCCAAATTCTTGTGGGTTATGCCTTCTGCATCGGTCTGCTGCAAGAAGTTAAGATACACCGCAACTCTTGCATATACTTTTGCTGGATGTTCCATGATGTTCATTTCAGAGGGCAAGCAACATTGAGTTTATTGTTATGGGATATCCGCTGAGGATACCTTTTGGATTGTCCTTTTTTGCATGGTCAAGCGGAGCATCGCCCACTCCAAGAGCAATCCTCGCTCAAGTTGTGAGGCTGCCAGTGCGGATTGCCCCAGGCTCCCGTGGGGGGGGAATCCAACTCGGTCCAAAGGATGTTTCCAAGACTGACTCACCTGATCTTTACAGTCAACAATAATCCCTTCGAAGCCCAGTGAGACCATACATTGTCCATGACGTCAAAGGAGATTCCCCATAAGCAAGCTGAAAACCCTTCAGACCAGTATCGATTGAATCTGGAGCCCGGACAAATCTTCCCTCTGGTTTGGATCAAGTCCTACGGCTTTGTCTTATGCACTTAACCCATGGTCACTTAGTTCACAGTCTTTGACTAGACTGGGCTCCAGGCTACTAGGTGCCGTATAGACAAGGATCCTTTCCACGTACCAGGGCCTCACACAATCGGCCGGGTGGAGCGATCTGTGGCGCCGAGTGGTTAATAGAGCGATCAGTGCCACTGGCACAACTGCGGCTTTCAGCCGACCTGGATGACATAGAGAGTCAGGGCTGGCTGAGCCAACAATAAAGACCGATTAAAGACCAGCAGCTGCCATCACTTCCATCAGCATAGAATCTAAGGAGAGGGCAGCGTCGCGATGACATCTATCTGGTTGGAAAGGGAGCAAACATAGCTCCTGAAAGCGCTGACAGCCCGCTGCCACTTGGACCAACCTTCGGGGACCTTCGGTGATCTTGCTTCAAAATACATACCTCAAGTCCCTGCAGAAAGATCCGGGTCTGCACAGATCTTCCATGAATGATTCTTGGAGAAAGAATTCCAGCACTGGAAGTGCCTGGACATCCATTGGTGTGTAGGGTGGTGTCCTTTTTCAGAATTCACCTTTATATAGGACATCAATCGGTGGTGTCACTGGCTTCCATCAACCGTCGGCTGCACGCGGCTGCACCGAAGGGGGCACTGCCAATCGAGAAAGACGATGTGGGTGGAGCCAGTGAATGGGTGAACAGCTCGATCTGCAAGCCTTTTTCTCAAGCCGATCTTCCAGCAGTGCCAATATCACTCCCACCAACTAGCAATATCTGTCGCTACCACTAGTCAGAAGGATTCTCTTCCAGGTACTCGTGGCGATGTGGACTGTGGACTGCTGGAGAGTCAAGTCCCCAAGAATTCACCAGCACTTGAGCGGCTCTCAAAACATATGGACCATTCATATGACAAGCCCACCACTAAACATTAACAGGGAGGTTTATATAGAGTCACTCACTTGGCGCTTGGTTCACACAGCCCAACCACCGGGCGCCCACCCACGAACAGCGTCCTACAGCTCTTCGCGACGAACATCTGAGCGGCGGAGTGCAGCGCAGCGCAAAGCACGGCCGTAGCGCAAAGATGAGCGGAACACATTCAGGTGTTTCGAAACCAAACACTCCGTGTATCTCCATGTATAGAATCATATGCCTACATTGACCCCCCACCCCAATGTAGGTAAATTATATATATGGTATACATGGAGTATTTGGGGGGGACGGGGACACCATGAAAAATCCGCTGGCACCACATGGCCCTCGGAATAGCCTCCCTACAGCAGGAATAGCCAACTGCGACTCTGCGTGAGACTTGCAATTCTATTCTGGACCTGACGGTGGTATCAATGAGGGATTTTGACCACGATCTCTTCCACTTGTTTGCTTCAACCAGTGAGGAAACATAAGAGTCGAGGAAACGCATGGAGATAGCCTCTTCGAGTTCTGAGACACAGCTACTTCGAGTTCAGCTGAACGGTCTGCCGAGCGGTCTGCTTCGACTCCGCTTCCAAAAGGCCCGGTGATTGGACGAATGGGCAATGGATGGCATGTGCTGAAGTGGATGGCGCCGGAAAACGAGGTTCAGAATGCCAAAGAACCGGGGGTACCCAGTATTCACTTCCATGTTCATAAGTCTTTGCCATTCACAGTACTTAGTAGTTATAGATTGTGGGTCTGCAATTTGCAGGGTATCGCTGAGCTGGTGTTCCGGGTCTCTTGTGGATCAAGAGAGGACCGGGAGTATCTCATTTTGGCAAACCAACAAACATGAACTAGGGGGTACTAACTAGGGGGTGTGGACGTCAGAACCAATCAATTGAGCGGAACGGTACTACCCCGGGGCCCCACACCCGCGCGAGCACCTCGACGGTGAAAAGCAAGGTGAAGACCTTCAGGTCAAGATTGGGGGTTGGACCAGGATGCATTTAAAGAGACTTAAAAGTACATTCATGACCATGGAAGTCGGCTACGGATCGCATGGAGTTGATTGCTACATAGGAGAATTGGGACCTTAAGTGAGAGGACAATGGGTACCCCGACCCGCTAAATAGACACCCCTTTGGAATACGTACCTGGTGCAGTATGAGATGATGATTCTGAAACTGGCAACCGCTGGCAACGGCAGCTACACATACAAAACGAAGAGTAGATCCCTGATCCTTTCATCTACCAGGACCACGAATTGACAGATGCGCCTTCCTGTTAGCGCTTTCAATAATTGCACCATGAGCCACTGCCTGCATCTGCTCAACAGCTACATTTGGCTTTGGACAATCCCGTTTCGATCATCAAATCCGTGGGTCCCTTAGGATCTTCACGTTCAAGGACCTGACAAACATGTGACAATCTGAGCCCACAGACGAGTTCGGACCACTGGAAGGTCTTTTGATACTCCTGCGCCCATTCTCGGGTTGTGAAGTCCAGCAGGGTCTGCAGGAAGTCTGTACGGTCCGGTCAAGCCGCAGTTACCCAACAGCCAAATGGGGGGGTGCAACAGCCTTGATGGGGTTCGAAAGCCCCTCATCAACAGAAGGGGTTGGCTGCAGAACCCCCCCTACACTTTTTGATACTTTTTGTAGTTCCACAGCCTTAATGGGGGGTTCTGCAGGCCTTGGACTCTGGCACATACTAGTAAAGCACATCACAAAGCCGTCGGAGAGTGACTGTATGGTGTCACTTGCCCTTCAGCATGTTGGTTTGTTTGGGATTACTTAAATTTTTGCTTTGTTCTCTTTGTTGTATACAGTATCCTGCTGCAGAATGGTGTCACTTGCCCACTTGGATTGGCTTAAGGAACAGGGGAAGAAGAACAACTGGTCCCAGAAGGGGGATTCACTCGTAGGAAAATTGAACATCACCAAGCCCAGGGTCAAAAAAAACATCTGGAACACCTGAGAACGACATGGTCATTAAATGACGTGACCCAATGGTCCGGTCCGACCCAATTGTAAATGATAGAAGTGGAAGAAACATGAAGAAACCACAGTTTCTTCAACGCATCTCGCTTTTGGTCATATGACCTCACGCTTGTTAAGACTCCAAACGACGATATTCCCGAATCCGCCCGAAGTGGCAAATGAACACATGCTCGAACGATCATGAAAAAACCGCTCGCGCGCCCCGCCGCACCGTCGCGGTAGCGTCCTGGTGAAGTGTCGGTACCGTCTCAAAGATCTGAAGGCGCCGGTGGCGAGGTTTCTTTCGGGCACAACTCGAGGAGGAGTTCCATTCACCACCCTAGCTGATCTATATTATACCTATCATCCCACTCTTTCAGTCCCCTGCTCGTGCGCGAACACGACCGGTGAACAAAGACCGGTGACCGAGACACAAGCGATCTTGAGGCAAAGGATCGGATGGCGGATCTTGGGGGGTCGGAGGAAGGACCCAAAGACCGCAGAGAAGGAGCAACTTTTTGTTCATCCAAACCAGCTCATGAACATGGTCACCAGGTCCTATGAGTCCTATCTTATTATGCCATCTCTTGCCCCTAGTTACTCATCCTGAGTTTCTTACCTTTCGACATGATGCGGGAAGAAGACACTCCCTGCTCGTGTGTCAGCCGCTCTCAAGCAAATAGAATAAGGATCGACGGTCATAGTCATAGTTTTGAACAGGTCCACATTCTACTATATAGACTGCTCAATGTTGGGTTATGTGGATGCGTCATGTATTTGTCTCAAGTTCTTAAGCGTTCTTAAGCGAAGACACGACGACAACTGTCGCGACAAATCATCCGGTCGCCGGGGGCACCGACAGACTGTCTGCAACTCATAAACCTGACAACAGGAACTGTAACCGCATCCAAAAATTTGCATAAAACTGGATCTAGTCAATGTCATGTTAAAGAATCTGGGAGGTTTCTACCGGAGAATTCCCATAAAAAGCGTTGGGGGTGAGAAACTGCGTGTGGTCGTACTGGCCATGAACTCGCAAGACGGGCACATGGCTTTTCTTCAGAGCAGGAGACTTTCCGCTTTTGATCTGGCCCACTGGGAAGTTTCTTGTGGCGCAACTTGCGGCCTCTCCATGCCAACGGCCCGAACGAGATGGAACGTGTTGCTCAGTGCTCCGCAACACCCGCACTTTTTTCGCGTGGTCAGGAAGTCACCCCCTAAATATGCACCCAAAAACCTTTCCCCCTCAATCTCTTTCCATCTCACCTCCATCCTCCAAGGGGCGCCCTGGTTGCTACTACCTGGCACCATCCTCCGGCGTGGAGCAAGCCAACGACAGTCCAAACACCGGGACCGAGCAGCTCTCATTGGAGCCGAGTGGCTGAGCTGAGGGTGGAGATCACGATGATGCACATGACACTCATCTGCAAAAGGTAGGCCTGGTTGGCGACCGGGTGTTTGACGTGGTAAGCTGCGGACGAACAGATTTTGCAAAGCAGTGGGGAGAAAGTTAATGTTAATTGTGTTACAGCAATATACTCCCATAGTAGAGGCCAAACACCCCAGAGCCTAAGAACTCAAAGTATCTTGTATAATATTATGGACTGTTGCTGTCCACTTCTTGAAACCACAACTTGGTATCTAATACTCCGAGTGCATTGCATATATTTATCACCGTTCTGCTGGTGAACAAAACAGGAAGTCTTCTTTGAAACAAAGCGTTGCGAGTTTCTTGAAAATGATGACCATAGACGATCACATCTGCAATGGAAAGGGGCTCTGGAAAAAGTCCCTGACTGTGTCACAGGGTCGACACCCTTCAGATCCAAGGTCGCGGCGGCATTGCTGCTATCCGGATGATCCAACAGCATCCTGCAGCGTTCCGGGTTAGTACAACGATCCGCAGCAATCTTTGTTGGTGACCTCTGACAGGACAGAGTGGCAAGAACATGGTAGGGTAGCCAAAGGGATGATGTTCCATTTTCCTGGTAGGGTCTACACCAAATAGACCATTACCAAAGTATATAACTAATTAATGGATATTGCAGCATTATGCACGATCATATATGATCTTATGAAAAAAAGAAAGTGGCAGTTCCTACAAGAATGGAAGGAGAATCGGGTGCTATGCTCCTCTTTGTGTCTCAGAATTGTTCACGATCACACCACCCCGAACAGCAGTGCTCTTTTTCATGGATCCAACTGCGTGTGTAGCGCTGCTTTTTTCAAGCAGGAAACCCTAGACTTCCACTTCCCCCCCGAAAGGTCATGTGTCGTTGCCAAAACAACAGCATGCCTGGCATGCCTGGTATGCGATGTGAAAATGAGTTCCCTTGAAACCGAGAGGTTCTGGACATCGCTTTGAAGTTTCTTTTCAGGGTAAATGGAAGTGTAAGGTGCAACCGGCTGAAATGCATCTGCACGGCATCAGCGGTGATTTTTCCTCCAAAACCACCAGAGCTCCACGCGGTTTCAGAGCGTTGTGAAAGGGCTGCTGGTCAGGAACCCAAGGAAAAGAGATGCCCCACTACTTAACCAGCATCGACCCTGAACGTTGAACCCTTGGAGAAGGTGCTTCCTCAACAAAACAGGAGTTTTGAAGCTCTATCTTTATAGCCCCTTGAAGATTGGTCATACCCACGAGTCTTGGTTTGACATACCCACTTCAAGCAAAGCACATGTGGATCTCTTGCAGTCAATGTTAAGAACCTAAGGCTGATAGAAGGCCACAGGGAGTGGATGGACACTCTCAACACAAGAAGGGATGATCGATTCTAATACATTCTGATATGTTCTGATACCAAATTGAGACTTGAGACACTGTTGTTGGCACTTTTCCAGACTGCTTGTGAGCTAAACTCCTAAAAACTAATATGGACCCTGACCATGGCCCCGAGAAAACTCGATTTCTTGCCTCTGCCAATCAGAGGTTTTCAGGGTCCATGCTGGTCTTCTAGCGTGTAGTTTTGCAAGTCCCAAACAGCCTGGTGGGTTGCAAGCTGTGCCTGATCAATGCGAGGTTTTCATGAGCTGATCATATGCGGAGTAGCTGATGAGCATGTCATGTAAACATTAACATGGTAAACCTGGTGGGGGAACTCTTCTACCGGTGTAGCATCAGTCTATGTTGTGTAACATG